TCCGAATGTTAATTAGGAGGTGTGTTTATGAGAATACTTCAAAGGAGGATATTCCAAAGCTGTTTCCGGATGAAGTTCTGCCTGAATTGCAAAAACTGTTGACACTTCTGTTGCAGAAGTTTCAGCGAGAGTGGCAAGAAGATGTGATGAAAGATCGAGTAAGTTGTTTTACTGTATACTTTGTGAAAGTGAGCTCAATTGGGTACATTAATCTGAGATTAAAAATTTAAACTGTATTGTTTTCAAGAATATTGTGCCTAGATTAAAGGCGATGACATGGAATATGGCAAATCTGGAGAAAGGATCAGCAGACCCTGCAGCGGTTATTGATTTGAAGGTAAATACCACCTATTGAACTTGAGTAGAGGACGGACTTTCCTTCCTTCAATGCTCATTTTGTGCTGCTCTAGACTTTAAACACAAGTGAGAAGTAACAGATGTGCGTATCAATTAAGTCTTCTGGTCTGGCTTTATTATTAAGTATATATGCATATGTATTGTATGTAAAATAATCAAATGTTGTTTTATGTGATTTTATTGTTTTAACTGTTTCCGTTTCAGCTTCAAAATGATGCTCCATTTCAGTCGGGAGTTCAAGATGTAAAGTTCCAGTTGACTACAGATTCTATAGATATGATGCTGAAAACCATGCACTGTATTAGAGACCAGTTTTCTACCATGGTAAACATTAAACTGAAGTTCGAACTTATATCCAGATTGGATTTTATAATGAGCTCGTTATTTGTTGTCAGGATGAGACACTAAATGGGCATTAGCACCAGTAAACCGAAGGAGTTTCTTAGAACTTGTTTTTACAATGAATGGTATGTTTGACTAATTTGTTGCATTTTGCTTTTAGATTTACTCAGTATGCTTCTTATTGAAAAAAATTGGCCAAATTTAAAGTGCTGAAGTACTTGTGTTTGAGAACTTAACTTGAGCACGGTCATCATCAGGATACTAGTCAAACTGCATTTTCCTTGCATGGATAAAATGTTATTTCTGCAAATACAAGAGAATGAGAGGATATCAATTTGCTTATTGGTTAGAATAGGACAGTTGAGCTAATTATGGTTCAGTTAATTGGTCTAGTATCTATCAATGTCTTATCTTACTAGATGGAAAAAACATGAACTTAATAAACAATGCTTCTGAATTTAAAAGGGGAGTTTTATTGAATTCAATAATACACTGTTTTAGATACAAAATCGGAGCCAAGGCTCTTACAGAGATGACTTCTCCCCTCATACATCTGACAAAATTGCTTTTTCCTATATAACAGAGTATAACTACAAAGGAACACACTCTCCCCTCTCACGATAACTTCTTTACAAAGCAATTTCTTTCTGCAATAACTGTTCTAGCAACTTCTTTCCACAAAATAACTGCGCTCCATAGCAGTTTCTGAGACCTTGTATGTCTTTCTTGAGTATACCTTCCAAATGCAACCTTTTCCTGAAGGCTGAAGTTGGAAATTGATAGCTGTTCCTCCCATGTTGCATCTTCAGCTGGCTTGCCCTTAAATTGAATTAAAAATTGCTTCATTTTCTTTCCTGCATGTATACATCCTCTATTACTCAAAACCTGTTTTGGTTCATCTTGAGCTTCTAGTTCAGCCGGAAATTCAGGTTCTGTTGCATAGAAGCCAATAGCTTTTAGCTGGAATTCTTTGGCCAAATGGAATACAGGAAGTTCCCTAGAAGTAGGGGGTAGCTTCGATTTGTAAGACACCTCTCCGTACTTTTTCAATATCTGAAAATAACCATAAAAGCCTGGTACAAGCATAGCTGTCTGTGCAGCCCAAGGTTGAAGAAAATTTACTCTCCACTAATTCTGTTCCTTATGCTTCTCATCGATACAATGTTTCATCTGTTTTTGAGTCTTGTATAAATGATGTTTGACCTGTTTTAGTGCCTAATCTTGTTCCTTTAACTAACAAGCCATTGAATGGAATGTGAGGCTTTCTTCCTGTTGGAAGTTTCACATCGACTAGAGATAAGACCAATTTAGAATATGTAAGTGGATGTAAATCTCACCTTATAAGCTTGTTTTGTGAGGTTGAGTTAGGGTTTAAAGTCTACTCCTTAACATAGTATTAGAGCCATGAGTTAGAATTTATTTTAGCGAGATTTGTGTTTGTTAGACATATCATTCTACCTGCTATCGACCACACATTAATATTTAGATATAAGTAGGTATAAACTTCACCTTAAAAATCGGTTTTATGGGATTGAGTTAAGTTTAAAGTTTATTTCTTAGCACTTCCATTTGCCTCTTGAAATGAAGTAGCACATGTGGTTACATGAAAATTGGTGTTGTAATAAAATTCCGCCCAAAGTCAGTGGTAAAAACCACTTCTGATTGGCTATCCATTTAATTTTAATAGGGTGAATACATCTTTAAAACTATTCCTCGCAGCTTCAACAACTCTTACCAAAATAAACTTGCAAATAAGCTGTCAGGATCCCTTAGAATAGATTTTGGAATTCCAGGAAGTTAACCACCTCTTAAGCAAATAAAGCTGCTATCAATCTTGCTATAAAATGAGTGTTATTTATCAGAAATGGGGTCTATATTATGCAGTATTAACTAAAACAATAGATGACCAATTCTTGCTGTGTTAATGGTGTTTGCTTACAATTGAGATAAATTTACGCGTTACTAACACTTATATTAATTGATAAAGCTTTCTTCAAAAGTTTGTGTATTCTCATAATAACTAGAACTGGGAGGAGGTGAGAAAATCATTTAAATTGACCATAAAAATTCTTCTTATTCCTTTTAGTACAGTTTGTAAAGTGATTACTAAAAGTTGAAATTTTGAATTCGTTTTCAGCACAAGTTTAAATTTATGTTGCACGGAGTACAGTACTGGTATCTGATACGGGTTCCAACACAGCATTCAAAAAAAAAATTGGGGTACAAGTACTTAATATAATTTTTAAAATTATATATATAAAGAAAATAATTGATTATAGATATGATTAAATTTTATAAATGGTAAAAATGTAAATAAACATAATTTACTATTTAACTAAATCAACATGATCAAAACGCATATCTCATAATAAAAAACTATAAAATATAAAGTTTTAACAACAAATATCAAATATGAGTAAATGGATATGTTCTAGTTACTCTCACAAGAAGACAGTGATGATTGTGAAAGAATTTCAATGCATTTTATTGAAGCGTAGAAATTGCAACGCCATACATGAACCACCATTCTTCTAGTTTCAAATGAAGTAACCAATTTTTTTATTGTAAATTTTTTATAGGTACCTGTGCTGTGCTTTTTTGCATAATTTGAGTTACCCTGAAATCTTTGTTCCCTTTTCTTCTTTCAGAGGTTAAATTGGCTCTATGGTTGAGCTCAACTGAAAACATGAGATTTTGAATACATAATGTTATTGTAATTTAGATTCTCAATTCTCAGAGGCTGAGCCTTGGCGTAATGGTAAGGTTTAATGTCTTGTGAGTGCCTAGACACTGGAAACAGCCTCCCTCCTTTTGGTGATAAGACTGCTACCACCCTCTGTACCATATAGATACCTAAACCACTGCGCCACCCATTTTGCGATTTTGGGTTCACAATTCTCTAAAATTTGTCGCTCTTGTATATTTGATAGCCCTAAGAACAATGTAATGCCAGTCAAATATTGTGGTTGAAATTTAGTCTGAAATAGTGAAATACAAAGCTCATGGTGATTTCAATTTGATCTGATAGAGGAATTTCTTTTTTCTGGTATAGCAGGAGGACATCGATGACAGACCCAGCAGGGGGAATCAAGATTCGGGCTTCAGCCTCAACTGGCGAAATCATTTACGTAGTTTAGTATTCCCTATATAAGAAAGAAATATGGTTAACAATCAAGGTATTTGGTTAAGATAATTCCAATGCTATTAGTTAAATTTCTAGTTTAATGGATTTAGCAATTCCCTTTTCCTAGTGAGAAACTCCTTTGGTTGTGGATGGGACACCCTCGTACATAACTTCCTGCCAGTCATTTTTTTCTCTCGTTTTCCCTTTGCTTTCTCAAGTTGTAAACATGAAGATCTTTGGATTCCCTTTATGGATTACTTTATTGGGCATCAGCAATTTCTGTTTCGATAAACAAAACGATCAACTTGTTCAAAAGAAAGAAGTGTGACCAAAACTCCTGATTATTATGTCATAATTTACACAAAATTTCACATTTCACGGTTTCACCTAACTCAAAATGAGAGCAATAAACTTGCAAAGTTGCTTTTTACAAAGGCCTTGCCTTGCCCTAAGATCTTGTCGTCAGCTATGATGGGAAACAGATCAATTTGTTACTGATGCATTAGAAGTCATTCTTGTCGGATGGATGTCAAACCCTGCTGTTAGGAGGCATCGGGAGAACCCCATCAAAGAAATCACCAAAATAGCCACGGGGCTCATGTACTAGCCTTGAGATGATATCTCTCAGAGTGATAAGTCCTTTAAGATTTCCATCATTGTCAGCAACGTAGACCCTATGAATCTTCTCATGGTCAAGCAGTTGAATCAGTTCTTTGATTGTGCAGTCCGTATTGCATGTAATCAGTTCACCTGACATTGGAAAGGTCCCTACATGCTTCTCTATGTAGCTTCTAACGGCTGTCAGGAAGTCTTTTGCTGTAATAGACCTGTCATAGGGAGAACTTATAAATTAGCATGCCACGGATATAGAACAGCAAAGAAATATGGGGAATAAAGAAGTTCCTAGTTCCTGTCTATCAGAAATGTGATGACAAACCTATAGTCATGGTAGATTTCTGGAGCAGTTAGGAGGAATTGAACATCTTGCAGGCTTATGTTACCAATTGCCCTGCTGCCACCAGCCCTTTTCATCACTGGCAACCCCCCAATTCTCTTTTTCCTCATCAGTTTAAATGCTTGAAGCACTGGTTCATCTTCATAGACCTGAAAACAACGAAACCTGTTACAAAGTTGGTAAATATAAAATCAACCCTTCGACTTTAGCTTTTGTTGAAGTTAAATGAAAAGAACTTCTACAAAATTTAATCACGGATATGTAGATTTTAACTAATGCAGAAAGCTCAATTTATTTTATCTTATTATTTTCTACTCTTATAAAACATGTTTATGAAAAAGTTATCCAAACAAGCCTGGGTGTATTGTGATGGTAGAAGGCATAATGGATTGTAGTTGATATATTGTGACATGTTTTAGTAAGGCTTTGTTAGTATATCATAGAGTAATGTGTAGCAGACGTAAACAACACGGAGAGTATAAGCTGAAATTCATAATTTTCCACCATGAATCAGAAATTAAACATAATACAGTTATCCACCTTTATAATATGATTTTGTGTCACCATGGGAAGACCAACTTGAGACAGCTTCTTGGTTCCCCAACTCTCAAACCACTGAAGACCAACACATTCTGCCAACATGTGAATTACAGAAGACTGTGTAATAATGTTTTGAATTCGACCTGTACCTAAGTCCACAACAGGAACACTCTTCATCTTATACTTGGAAAGCAGCAAAAGCATGGTCAAAAACGAGTTTGATCTCTCCAAAGCGAGAAAGGGGGCCCAGCGGAATGACCCTGAAATGTCATGAACCTGTTTACTAAACAATTAGCAACTTATATAAATGAATTATAACGAATTAAAACAAATCTGTTAGTAGTTTGCATTGATAAGTCCAACACACAACCTTGGTATCCTTATAAAGCTGAGAAGAAGTCAGATCCTCAAAAAAATTTCCTGAAGTTGTCATGGCAGATTCAAGGCCTAAGGTTTCGTGTTCAAAAGCTGAAGTTATTCCATTGACAGCAGCCGAAATAGCAGATCCACTAGATGGACTCCTAGGAGATGTGGGATCAGACTGTCAACAGCATTGATTGTCATATTCAAAGCGTGTGAAAAAATGAATCCACTAAAATCACTTCGATATGAACAAGGAAACACATCATTTTTCAACTAGTTCATGATCCAATTCAACATTTTCATCCAAGAAACTATCAAATAAGTCTCCTACCCAGAACCGAGAAACAAAATTCACATCACCCCACCAGAATATTTAAATAATATTAAACATGATACTTGCACTAGTCTCAATTAAACGGTCCTTTTAGCATGTTCTTGCTTCCTCTTCCAAATTTCTCACTTCTGAGCTTTCCTAAATTAGATCCACAAATATGTTATTTACACATCGTTTTTCTTACGGCAACTTTTTTCTGTTGGTGGGGAGAAGCAGAAGGTTAGTAGATAACTAATTAATCAAATTGACATACCAACCTGATGCAGAATCCATACAACAATTCCAGCAAACTCGACTATTCCTATGTATCTGTCGATCCAACTAGCATCTTCAGGTGCATCTACATCCACCACAGGTGCACTGAGAATGTTGTGTTGTGCAAGCAATTTCACTGCTTCTGCTAGAGTGGTATCTGATTTTATCTCAACTTCTGAAGACACAAAATTATGAACCAAAAAGAGTTACATTTTGTGTAGAATTACAATCTTTTCTCTTCCTGTCAGTTGATCCAAAACACTCTGTGTTCATCAGTGCAAAACATTTGCGTAGCTTATATCAAATACTAGAGATTAATTTTTCATGTGGGTATAATGATTATACTATAATCAAAATCACTTTTTTAATCCCTAAGAATCAAGGTTTTAAAAATTATAACTGCGAGTAAAGTATAAAAAAAACTACAGACAAATACAATTGATGTAGTCACAATTACTTCCAAAAAATCTTATCAGGCAAAATCCCAGTCACCCTTTTCCTAAACTTGGTAAAAATTGATAACTGAAGTGATGTGAGTTGAATGAGTACCTTGATTTGAAGGAGGTAGAGGAAAGGCAGAGACAGGGATGCTCTCAAAGCAAGCATTGAGCTTCTCATCAGGACTCAGCTGTGCCTCCTGAACGTCCCATAGATCCTCCACTCTCAACCCCACCTTCGCCTCTGGGCTCCGTGGACTTTCTTCCATTGTCACCATAACTCTCACTCTTTCTCCAACACCAATGCTCAAAAACTAATCTTTACACATCCCCATAAATAGCTCAACAGAAGAAAACATAATCTACTACCACTTCACAAGCTACTTCCCATACACCGAAGATATCCACCGCATGATTTGAAAACTTGGAACACAATTCGTTGACTTAGGAACATGGGAAAACGTGGAGGAACACGATGAGATCACACATTGTGTGATGAAGTCGTTTGTTGTACACGTAATGTCTCATTGTCTTGTCCTACGCTGTATAGCGACTAATCACCGAGCTTATCCAAACTCTCTATTATATTTTCGGCACACGTCCTCATCCAACATACCACTCTTATTGCTAATAACGGTGTGCGGTGCTATCATGCACCATAGGAGCTTTCTCACATTACTTCATTTTTCTAAGAGGTTCATTTTAGTTTTAGCTGTTGTTAATTTTTTTCTTAACTATATTATTGATGTACCATATTTTTTATTGTGCTATTTATTATTTTAATTACCTTTATCCATATATTTTAAAACATTATTTCCAATATTTTATTTTCTCGGTAAAATCAATTTATGCACGCTTTAAAAACGTTTTACAATAAAGCTTTTACAAATTAATTTATATATAAACTAATTTTGACTTATAAAGAAACTGGTTCCATTTCTTTTATCTTTTTGCTTGAAATTGTTATTAGAAAAATTGTCCAAACATTACATACATACATAATATATATACATACATAATATAATTAATTTATATATAAACTAATTTTGACTTATAAAGAAGTTTTGTGTAATTTTAATGGACAAAAAAGTTCTTCTATTAGTTTTGTTAAGCAATGATTGATTTATTTTATCCGAACAACAATGATTGATCTCATTTATGAGTGACCATTTATATATATACTTTCTTTACACTAAAGAGAGGATAATGAGTAGGATATTTATTGTTGGGCAAGCGGCTGATAGGAGAAAAGGGAAAATGATTGGGACATTCACTATTCATTAAGCTGACTCGATAATATGTTATAATTCTTCTCTTCCCCCTTCACTCCTACAATTGACTGATATTATTGTTGTTCTTATCCAACTCCCCAAATATCTTATTTCCAAGTAAAAGAGAAGGATAATATAAGAGGAACTACTAGTAGTTTAGGTTGTATGTGGAAAGGAAAGTTGTTTTTTTTTTTTTTTTACGACACATCTTACTTAAAAATTTCTTTGCAAAAAGAGTTTAAGTAAATTAAAAGAGGAACTTTTATGTCTTAGAAGCACGTGACATGTTAATTAGAGAAGTAATGTATAAATAAATTTATAATGAAAGATAAGATAGTAATTGGGTTGAAAGTATTTTCGAATAATGAGAGATATCTTATGAGTTTAGAAAAATAATAAAGTTTATACCTATATAAATAACAAATTACTAACGGAAAAACAAAAATTCTTCTTTAAGAAGTACATATATATATCTTTGTCCTATGTATTTTAAGATAGAAAGATATTATAATAGAGAATACATGAAATGAAATCTTAGATCATCATCATTAGGTAATTAAATTTCTAAAACACGTCAGAGAGAGAAATGACATGAGTCATTCATCTCATTGGATCTCTAGAACACCTAATGGTGATCTTTTATACAAAGATAGTCTTCCTATAATATATGTGAGAATCACGTAATTTTGAGATCCTAACTTAGTTTTTTTTCTTCTTTTTTCTTTAATTTTTTTTACATCATGGACTTATTGAAAACCATTAAGTTTGTATACTATGTTTTTACATGTGGTTTAAGAGATTTTATGAAATTATGTGATTCTCATTGTGTCTTTTTTTTTCAATTTTATAAACTTTATGAAATTTAGAATTTTTTAATAGGTTAAATAGGTTTTTAATTTCTTAATTTTTATATAAAATTAAATTTTATATATATTTCAAATTTTAAACAATTTCCATCTTCAAACTTTATTAATGAATGAATTTAGTCATCACACATTAAAGATTTACTAATGTATTAAACAACTTTGTGCTCACACATGGACA